ATATAGACTAATTTGTTGGAGCTAACCTAGAAAAATAAATATGAAAGTCAATTAAAATATAAAACAGGAGATAAAGTTCTCCTTTCTTTATTTAATTGTTGCATTTTAAGTATTTATTTAGTGGTTCATATAATTTTGCTTTTATTTTTAATTATGTCAGTGTTGGTCCTCCGTACTGCAGAAGTCTGATAATCAAATATTCATATCAGGTGTGTTGGAGCAGAGGAGCAGGTAAAACATACAGGGCTGCAGACACCTGCTCTAAAACCAGGTGTACACCTATCCATCAGCACCCCCCCCTCACCTGGCCAGGCTCCGCCTCCAGAACAAACTGTTTCCTGATGGAGTAGAAGGAGCTGCACTCCCTGCAGAAGTCCCTGAAGCAGTCCTTCTCCTGGTCCCAGTTCACCTGCGGGACAAAGACACGCCTTTTAGCTGCAGGCGGTCACGAGGGCGACGCCCACCGCCCGGCGGCGCTCACCTCGGTGGCGAGGCGGAGCACGAACATGGGCAGGCCCTCCATGATGGGGGTGTACCCGTCCAGGAGRAGCGGCAGGCCCGTTAGATTCCCTTCCTGTGGGGGACAGAGGGGGCGGGGTTTAAAGGGACGTTTCGGCTCTTTCTTTACGAGAATCAGCCGAAGGTTCTAACCTGATCGATCTCTACAGAAAAATAATCCTCCAGCATCTCCGCCTTCCTCCGCAGGAAGTCCACGATGTACTGAGCCAGACCCTCCTTAGGACCGTCCTCCTCCGTCCAGCCGCTCTCCTCCGAGTCCAGAGCCAACATGGCCAGGTCGTAGAGCGGGGCCGGTTCCTGAAAAACCCAAACAGAACCAGGGTAGAACCCGTTTGATGATGGAGGGGGCGGGACGGGGCGGGGCGGGGCCTACACAGCGTTCAGTCCACTCACAGACAACCGGAGGACCCCGAAGTTCCCGAAGTCGAAAACAAGGATCTGGTAGAAGAGCTCCTGGCTGGAAGAGAAACACAAACTGAAATGAACCGGGCCGGACCGGGTCGGCCGGACCGGGCCGTGATCCTGCCGCTCACACCTGAGCCTGGTGCTGTTCAGCAGGTACAGCTTGGTGTGGTGCTGGACCAGAGTCCACTGGGGGTCCACACAGCCCACGAACGAGTGGCTCCGCAGCATTTCCTGAAGACCTGCAGTCAAACCCAGACAGGACCTTTGTTTGTTTATGTTTGTTTTTGTTTACATATTTTTGTTTGTTTACGTTTGTTTGTTTACAAAACAAGAGTCAAGATGGCCGCAGACCCACAAACAGCTAAAAGAATCTGTTTATTTTACAGACGAGCTAAAATCTGACGGAGCAGCTCGTCCATCTGAAACTTTTTTTTTTTAAACCGTGAGTCGAGACAGGAAGTAGAACTCTTACGAAACCACGAGGACCGAACTGTTTGTTCTGTTGCCATGGAAACAAAATAAACTTTTTAAAAAAATCTGTGTTCTTGACGGAACAAGAAACGGATCGAGCCCTGCCGCTGAGAGGCTTTATAAAAGCAGAAGCAGTTTCTGGCTTGTTTGTTTGTTTTATTTATATA